GGCCTTTGTAAATTGTGCCATCCTCCGCACGGATGCATCCTTCACAACCCCCAAGAGACGATCTGAGGCGACCCTGGCTTCGCTCCCTTCTCCTACTGAACGACCGGCCACTGCACGAACATGATACGTGGCGGTCTCCAACACGGCGCTCGTCTCCGTTCTGCTCGCTCGCCCCCTCCCTACCACTGGACTTGGGGACACTTCTTGTACCGACATATCCTTGGATGATTGGTCTTCTAACCATTCGCCTCCTGCCAACTGTTCTTGCTCGGCTATCCTACTCACCACTTGGCCACTTGAGCACTTGGCCTCTCCCACCCCAATCCTGGTCTTCCCCACCTCTACTTCTGGGGATACCTCCGCCATCTCTTCATTCACCTTCTTGAACACTGGTCCTCCCTCACTCCCCTCTGCAGCCACCTTCATTTTCTTCTTTTTCTTCAACACTGCATCTAACTCCTTTCTGCTCCTCTTCCTTAGCAGATCCACTGGCGGTGGCAGCGGTGCAAAATGGGTCAAGTCCTTGTCTTTTAGAGGCTTGGGACGTGGTTGGACTAGCTTCTTCATGACCAGCTTGGGCGCACGGCCTAACTTTGATTCTTTATACTTATCTGCCTTGGCGAACGTCCTTTTGTCCTCTGCCTCTTGCATCTTCCTCCTCCCCTCCAACTCTTCCGGTGTAGGGTCCTCCTCAGTTGGCTGTGGCCCCAGATTCAAGGCAAACAAGGTTGAAGGCTGGATAAGGTCATCACACTTTAAGCCCTCATTCTCCCTCCACTCCTTCACTCGTTTAACCCTCTTCTCTGCCTCCAGCCTTGGCCCCACTGACTTAATGAGAATTTTCCATATTGTCTGCACCTCCCTTCCGCCATTCGTCAATACATAAAACCACCTTGGTCTCTGTCCCTTCACTGACGACGGCAAACCCGCCACTAATCCTCTACCTGCCACCGCTTGCAGGGTTACCCATGGTTCTTGTTGACTGAGTCCTTGTAACAGGAAAAGAACTCATCCACTGTCATCGCTGCTCCTCCAGTTGCCCGTGGCCATGCGATCGCGCAGGCCAATAGTATTTTTTATGCATTGGGCATAAGTTGACCTGGCGCCATCTCCAACCGGTTCAACACGTCTACCATTATTTGTGGGAGTGGCAATCTCAAACCCCCCGTAACACCTCCTTATATAGTGTAAACTCCATCAAACGTGCATCCGACACCCTCTCATTCGACATCGGCAACTTCAACTCTACCTCCGCTGGAATCTGGTATTTCTTACGCACTTCCTCCAACTCCTCTACCATAAACGTCAATTTGTCAGCCTTGGTGTGCCAGTGGCCAGGTCCCACTTGGCTAATCGGCCTTGCCGCCACGATCATTGTGGACGGACGGGGTAGTGCCACTTGCTTCGCCCCTCTTTCCTCCCGTCTCTCCGTCCTATACTGCTCCGCCAACTCTACCGCATCATCCTCACCTAGCGCCTCTAACCCCATGGCCGGCGTTTCCTCTCGAGTCATCTCTTTTATGTTTCTGTATATTGCTTCGGACGCAGGTGCGAAGAAGTTCGCAAACTGTTAGAGGGAAACGTCACATGAAACGAATGAGGTCAGATCTGGGATGTGTTGGTTTCTCATAATGAGATATGTAAAACGGCTAACTTCAAATGCCCACGGTTTGCCTATTTTCCAAGGATTAAGATTAAAACTCACCAGTTTGAAAATTTCAAAAGTTACAACCCCCGCCTTTTGCACATCCTATCCTAACCCTAACCTTTCGCTTCCTACTAACGCATCACCTCCCTCACCACTAGTTTAGATCACCCCACGTGTACAGCCACGATTCGTGACCCTCTTCTTCTCCCCCATCTATTCCATTTCACATCATCACGTGTTTCATCACTCATCGAGCCCCGCGCGCCGTCACTACCTCTTCGGCCCTCCTCTCGGTCAGCCCTCTTTACGGTTGGACCTCCGATCCTCTCGCTTGGCCCCATTCGCGATCAGCCCTCCTCACGATCGATCCTCTCACTTGGCCCCTTTCACGGTCGGTCTTCCTCACGGTCGATCCTCTCGCTCGGCCTCCTTCGCGGTCGGCCATCCTCATGGTCGATCCTCTCACTCCGCCTCTTTCGCGGTCGAACCTCCTCACAGTCGATCCTCTCGCTCAGCCCCCTTCGAGGTCGGTCTTCCTCTCGGTCGGTCCTCCAGCTCGGCCACCTCCACGGTCGGTCACCCCCCTTGGCTTGGAAGGACCCTTCCCATTTTCCTTCTTATTCCCTTCGTTGGACTAAAGCTGCACTTGAGAATGAGGGACTACTGACATCGGTGGACCCACAAAAGGTTTTGGCCCACAACTTAGAGCTCAATTCACGATCCAAGTACTGAAGCCCAGCACTCTTGAGAACCCAATGTTGAACCAGAGACCAATGGCATTTAAACACTTGTCAAGCAGGGAACCAGCCACATAAGCAGGCAAAGATTTGCAAAGTTATTACACCCATACATAAGCCATTAATAAGACTCTGGTAGCATTAAATGCGGTAGCCCCTTCACGTCGAAGAAAATAGGCTCACCGTGAACGAGGTCAACTAAACCTTAGACTTATGGCTGACAAGACAGTTGGGAAGGGACAAGGAAATGATGAATGAAAAAGATAAAAGGCTTCAAAAGAACAACATAGGTTAAGTTTTCTCTCACTTCTCTCGTACATTATCTCTCTAGAAAAACCTTCTTGCCTTCAACTAACTTGATCACCAGAGTGTCCACCAGGGGACTTCCCCTCATTGGACCGTTTTTGCAGGTGTATTCTGCGAACTATAAGCCCAACAGACCTATCTGAAGTGTGGATCAATTTGGCCCATCCATTCTCCAAGTTTACAGTATCATCAACATCCTTAGCTTATCATTCCAGCAACATATCCGTGGTTTCTGACACCACAGTCAGTACTCACTGCCACCATTACTGATTGAGCAATCTTCTTCTTGATAAACCATTACCAACTAGAAATAGCCACCGCAAATCCAACACTTGTCACCACCACAAATCAGTAAATACCCAGCCAACCGACCACATGTAACATTATCTCTCACAGTTCTTTAATCAAACACATATCAAGCATGTTCAAACTTGTACATAAATGCATCAACTAGGTCTTCAGCCACCACCATCATCCACCAAGAAAATGAGAAGATATTATTAATGGAAAGATTAAAAAAATAATAAAAATTGCAAGGCAAAATGAATAAAAAAAATTCCTCCCTTCATTACTACATAGAAACCACCTGCTACTTACTAAAAAAAATCACCACCATACCACAACAACCCCATCCTCACACACACAAATCAAACCTATGTCCCTTGGAACTTTACCAATCGTGGAGACCACCAAAAAAACAGTCAAAATCTATAATTTTCATTTTCTTCTCCACTTCCTCTGTTTTCTCAACAATGAATCAGTGTACCTCTCTATAGCAAACATTTGGTTGCCAACTTGATCATACTAGTCATCTCCTCTATATGATTTGGGTTTTACACTTGGCTTATATGGTCATCATTATGATGATGGATGGTCTTGATAGTGGGTGGTGGAGGGACATAGAGAGGTGACTGTGAAGAGAAAAAAGAGAGGGATGCTCTGTATCTGTGCATTGGGTTTCCAGGTAGGGTGACTATGGTGGTGTCAAGGTATTATCTTGGTTGGGTAAGCTGTGTAGAGAAAGGGAAGGAAGAATAGTATAAGGGTAAAATAGTAAAATTACATTCTTAGTTGAGGATATTAAGGTCATTGTACATTTTCTGTTAGATCTGTCAAAAGACAAACATTGACAGGGTGCTCAGTGTAATTTCAAAAATGTCAAGAAGGTATTTGTATTAAAGACAAATCTTATGGGGTGTCAATGTAATTTATTCTTTTTAATTTTATCAATTTAAATTCTATTTTTTTTATTTATTTCAATCTAAACCATTCGATGTTTAGTAAAATCGATAAAAAAAAAATTGTTATTAAACGCACTATAGGTATATATAAAATATCTAAAATATTATTTTTATTAAATTTAATGACTAAAATACCCATTAGTCTATCGGTTTTATTTGACAAAAATAGGCAAATAGTTTACATTAAAAACAAATCAAAAGTTTAGTATTTAAATTGATAAAATTAATAATTCAGAATTTATTTTGTTATAAAGTTCAAACCTTGGAATTTTTATTTTTATTTTTGTAATTTTCTCTTCTTCTTTTTTTCCCCCTTTTTTTCGGGCACAAATTCTGCAAATTTATATAATTCTTACAAAAAAAAAAAAAATCAAAATCAAAATTTGCTATACTATAAAACTTGCAATATTATAGTGAATTTAACTTTATTGGAGGGATTTTTTTTTTTTTTTTTTTTTTTTTTTTTGGTTGTCTATTACCATGTAATTAATATAATCATATTTTCATATATTCATAAATTTTGGGATTGGAAGGAAGATTTACTTTCACAAGTTGAATATTAAATAAATGAAAAAAAAAAATAATAATTATAAAACAATGGAGTACAAGTGAGACATGTAGTAAGGTCAAGTGAAAATTATAGTTCTTACTTGCACTCAATTTCTGATTATTTTATCTGTTTTCATTTATTTTTGTTTCTCCTTTAAAAATTTCAAGAAATCATGGAATGGGTTCCCCATTTTTTTAATCCAATATGTACAAAGCTTTTCTTAGGATTTTTTTTTTTTTTGGGGGGGTTCATATTCAAGCTCAAATTGTTTAAATTGTGTCCTAAACATAGTATCAAACATAAAGAAAACAATTATTCCACTTCATCTCTTACATGTTAAAAAAAAAAAAAAAACTACTTGTGCAATTATTTCATTATTTATGCAATTTACAGGGAGATGTCACTAAAGAATCACATGAGTAACTAACAAGGGAAACAAAATCCAATTGAAAGGAGATTGAAGCAAAAAGTTTTCGAATGTTGAATACAATCAAATGAATCTTCCATCATATATTTGACATTGTGACAAACATTATTGCAAGTATAATTCAATCACTCAATGGGTCTCATTCAATCATCCAAGCATGTAAGAGATGGCAAAACGTTGTCCCGTCTCCACTATCTTCATCACACAAGACTTTATCGTATCCATTGCCATCAAGTTCAATTTCAGGTTCACCTCGTTTGAAGATAAAAAAACCTTGACCTGAATTTGGGTTATTGTATAACCAATTGTGCACATCCCAAAAAATATGTAGAGGTGCATCTTCAACCAACACAGATTCATTCCCTCTAAATTTCCAGTGCAAGTTCATAACGCGGGTCAACACAACCCCATCCATGAAAATCCACATTTCTGGATCATTAGGCCCTGCTAGGGAAGTCTCAATGACAATATCATGTTCCTTTTTTCCATGACCTAACATGGTTTTGGATCTAAAATATTTCTTTCCAAACACACTTTCTTTCTTATGTACTAACATTGCATCTACCAGTGATGGCCTTGACCGAGTTCTCTTTAACGCTTCAATCTTCTGATCCCCTAGCAGTAATACAATTTCTTCATTGGAAACAACTGCAACATAGTAATCTGAACAAGGCTCGGGGCTAGTAGAGAATTTTGCAGCTCGAAAATCCCAGAAGACATTTACGCATTTGTCATCAACTCTAAATGACTTGAGACCTTTTCTACCCCAAAATTGCCAAGTCTTAAGATCAACCTTGCAAGTGTAGTGATTTTCACTAGAAGGGTTTTCCACTACAATGTGAAGAGTATGGTTCATGAGGTTCTTGGACCATGTTACAGTTACATTGCGACACAAATTTGCGACATTGGTTTCATAGGTATATGTGACAAAGTTCTGTGCAATTCTATTTGTCACGGCATCTTCTATTGATTTTCCTTCAGAATGTTGTAGGAACTTAAAAGATGATGATAAGGCTCCAACTGAAGATCGATACATTGTCAATGCCATAATCTTAGACAAATCGTGTTTGAGCCTGCAATAGTGAATGATAAGACAGGCTTTGATATTTCTAATTTTTTCAAATGTTCAAGATCACAAATCGTGATTTTGATCTAGCCCTTCTAGAAATTCTAGAGATGCTTTAGTTTTGAGCATTAATATCCGGAACACCCATCTTGTATTTCTCTTCCGTGAAAAATCCCATAAAAAGTGAGATATGTCAAATTCGAACAAAAATGAAACTTATTTCCCTGATTGCATCAACATAATGATTTTTCATATATTGTTGATGTTAGAGGATATTTTGCCTAGTGCAGGAGAAAACCCGTGATAGATAAAACGAAAAAAAGAGTAGTTTTTGTTACCTTGGATGATCTAAGGCACCGATTATAACGTATCAAACTCAAAGAAGAATATTAAACATACAAAATACGTACGTTGAAGAATCAAAACCAAGTATGCCAATTTGTAGGGTAGAGAATTATCACAATTGATGATTGCAGGGACTTCAATTGTGAATTGGAATTTATGGGAAAATATGACACCATAAAATGGTGAAATGGTTGGAGGTTTTGTATGTATCGACATGATAAGTTTTTTGAGAATCAATGCTTACACAGAGGGGGCTGGCAGTGAGATGCATCAAACAGATGTTTTTCCCTTTTTCTTTCATTTTTTTTTTCTTTTTCTATTGATAGACTCTTGTAACTGTTGAGAATAAGCTAGATGGCTAATTTTGGAATGCCACAAACCAATCTCTTGTAACATGTGAAACTATTTTTAGTAAGGGCCCAATATTCACTTTTATTCCTCTATCTTGTAGACTAAAAATGTTGCTTATATTGTTGTTTTTGCTCAAATTTGTTTGATCAAATGTAAATGAAACCCCAAGTCATTTAATCACAATTTTACTGTATTTTTTAGGATTTGATTTTCAAAGGAATGAATTTTTTAAAAAGAGTACTTATAATAGATAAAAATAAATGTGATCTCATCACGTGATTATCGATATCCAATCAAAATCCAATGTAATCTCTATAAAAGGTGAGTATATGCATCCCGCTTTCAACAACTTAATTTCAAAAATTGAATTAGAATCATTAATCATAGTCATATTAAGTATAATCAAATATAATCAATACTAATTTGGAACAAAACCAGTGTAAACTTTGGTCAAAGCTAAAATCATCCTAATGAGATCATAACTAACATCATTTTGCGACATAACAAAACACCACAATAGGTTATATAATCAATTTTAATTTGACAATTTGCTAACCTCACCACCACAATACCGGCAACCAAACACCAATATTGATAATAACGGGATAAATTGCACAAAACAGTCTTGCAACTGGAAGTACACAAATAAGACAAATATAATATATAGCAAATTTGGATTTTAATTACATAGTATTCAAACTTCAGATAATTTTGTAAGAAAACTCAGTAATAAAATTGGTGAAGAAGAAAGGTTTGAGAATAACACCTCCTATGGCTTCACCATGCTCTCTCAATCTCTCCCTAAGAGACAATAATGCAACTCGGGACTCCAATATTGATAATAGTTTTGTTTACTGTACAAAAACTATAAAAAAAGAATTAATGTAATAAAAACTTGTTGCCTGCATAACAGTGATTTTCTCTCAAGGCAAAACCATAAATTTCCCGCGCGGTGTAGACCGGCTCCTCCTGAATTCCGGCATGGCTGCTGGCATAGCTGAGTTGCTGGGTTCCTTTGGATAGCGAAAAACACCATTTGAAACCCTCTGTTCGTTTTTTCCTGATAGGAAGGTCTCCACCGTCTGCACTAGTTCTCTGCACAAAAAAAAAAAGAAGGAAATATTATTCCCGTAACACAAGCATGTAAGTACCGTAGACATGGACATAGGGCACAATACGAACACGCCAACAAGGCAATTTTAACAAAAAATATAGAACACGATATGCTTGCAATACGTTAAAAACAATATTTTTATAAATTTACTATATTTAAGAACAGTTTATTCATGGGTAATTAGAGAAAAAAAACATAATGTTAATTAAAATTAAAATATCATATATTGCATAACTTCAAAATTAAGATATTATTCACACAATGACTGTCTAAAGAATGCAAAACAATTGTAGAACATTGAAATACATATAATGTATTCATCTTACAAATATTTCAAAATATATTCAGAGTGCATAAGTTGCATTCCAAATAATGCACAACATTGTTACTAACTATGAAGAGATTTATCACATAAGTCGTCTTTGCAACTTTTAAGAAGTGATTCTAAAGCGTCCAATATTATGATTTTAAAAATTTTAGGAGTGAGCATGGTCCGGATGGGATAAAATCAGAACCAATCCGTTATCTATGGTTCCTGAAAAATTGAAACCAACCAATCCGTTTAAATTTTAGAACCAATCCGTTTAAACAGGGATTGGATTGGTTTAGGACCACGGATTCACATATTTAAATAAAAAAAAATATATAGAACATTTTAATTTCTAAAAAATATAACCATAGTAGAGCTCTCCTAAAAATAGATATACATTACACAAAGCAAAGTGTTAGATTGTATTAAATGTGACAAAATAGAACAAAACATGATAGAACAGAACATTCATCAAATGTGACAAAATAATAATATGGCTTAAAAACAAAATAGAACAAAACATTCATCAAATGTGACAAATCTGGGGCTAGAATCAGCAAATAGAACATGATTCACACAAAAACAAAATATAAGAGTTATCAAATAATAATATGGCTTAAAAAATAGAGCAATCAAATAAATCAAAAATGTTATTCATTATCAAAGACATAAAAGCACAAGATTGAAAAATCATCAAATAGATTTATTTATCAAATGTGACAAATTTGGAGCTGGAAAAATCAGTAAACAGAACATGATTCTCACAAAAACAAAATATAATATATATATAGAGATAGAGAGAGAGAGGGAGGGAGGGAGCTCACCGAGAGAGAGAGAGCGATATGAGAGTGTAAGAGGTAGTGAGTGAGTGAGCGGAGTGTGAGGTTAAAGATCTGAGATGGATGATCGGAGAAGAGAGAGAGAGTACCGAGAGAGAGAGATGAGAGTGTGAGAGGTAGCAGTGAGTGAGCTGAGCGACGTGTGAGGTGAATTAGGGTTAGTGTTTAGCTTTTATATGAAACAATAAATGATATTATGTGGAAGGGTATATGGTATAAATAATAAATATAGACTAAATGTATACGGTCCGGATCGGTTCCAATCCGGAACCGATCCGTGGTCTACGGATTTTCAAATTACTAATCCAGAACCGAACCACGGATTCAAAAAACCAATCCAATCCTACCAGATTGGACTGGACCGGATCGGATTACGGATTATACGGATTCCTTGCTCAACCCTAAAAATTTTAGTTAAGATATGCTGAAGAAGTGTCGAACCAACTTTTAGAAATGTCTACATAATGTCATGTCTGACACGACATGGCACGACACCCCTCCATAGAAGTGTCTGTGCTTCTTCAATAAGCATGTAAATAAACCAATTTTAGCTGCATGGCATAGTTGTAGAAAGAACATATTCAGGGTTATGTTCCAAGTTTAGGTTATCAAGACAATATTTTGGTCATACCTTGGTTCAACATTACTCCTTGACGGGTTCCGTTGAAGTTTTTTCACCCTCAAGGTACTAAGTACCGGTGAAACAACAAGCCCTTGCTCATTCTCAGGCTCGGAGAAGTCACTCTTTCGAGCTTCCTCCATCTTTCCCCCAGTGTCAATGTCAGCAAGCAATGTCACAGCAACATCAGGCTTCTGAATTTTAGTGGGCAGTTGATTCTTAGCCTTGACCTTACTTTCTGGCTTGCTTTTCCTAATCCCCCCTTGCCTCACATTAAGCGCTTGCTTAAACTGTTCCTCTTCATGTTCTGGGTGAATTTTCTTCGAAATGGCTCTCTGAAAGCTGAAAAATGCATCAGATATGTTTTCCTGCTTGGGTACATCTCGTGGAGCCAAAAATCCTCCGCCGTTGCTCTCTATTGATGGGATTACCGGCATTGTGGCAACGGATTTATTGACAGAAACTCTAGTGGGAAAATGGAGTTTTGTGATTGGTAGGTTATCAGTTGTCTCAGGCTTGACCCTACTTTTGATTAGGGCCCCTCGATCAGTTGACATTGATCTCCTCACAGGTGGGGACGGTGACCTTGGCTTGCTAGAGTTGTTCACTAGTCTCTCTTCGGTGAGGAAAGGCATCTTTGGTATAACATCCTTGTCTGAGAACTTTGAGGGAAGACGAGACCGTCTTTGCTTCCCTGAAGAACAACTCCTTGCCTGAAATTCAAGTTTTCACCACAAGAAAGAAAATTAAGCGTCAATAACTTTGCAAGCTGTTCTTAGCAAGGAATTCTAAAACCACATGAAAAGGGGTTAATTACACTTTATCCCCCTCAACTATCACTGAATATCACCTTACCCTTCTCAACTTACGGTTTTAAAGTTGAGAAGGGTAAAGGTTATAGTGATAGTTGAGGGGGGTAGGAGTGTAATTAACCCAAAATGAAATCATTTAACTTTGTATCCCCAGGGATTTGATTGACGACTACATGGATCAGATTATTGTAAATTCCAAATAATAAGGTAATATAAATACAGCGTAATTACTCCGTGGGGATGCATCAATTCCAGACTGAATCACAAATTTGTAACTCAAAATGCTAAGGAATGCTAAGAGAGATAAATTCCATCAGTAGATGGTAATCACTTGCCTCAAAGATTCTGGTATCATCGATAGGGCGCTGAGAGATATCAGGCTTCAAGCTGGCACTGATACCACATTTTGGAATATGCATAGGTGAAACTGCTCGTGTTCTTTGGGATTCTATGGTGCCTCGAGCACTCCCACTTTTCAATTGCTCCAGTTCAGCTTCCTTTCTCTCTAAGGCGAGCTTGATGTTTGAGATCTGAGTTAATAGCAAACGAAAAAAATAAAAAGAAAATAAAATGAATTCCAGTTACCATGAATCAAAAGTAAAATTTAGCATGTGATTGACTAAGAGTAGACCTCTTCTTTGAGATCCCTGATTTCACCGGTTTCTTTATTAGATCTAGCAGCTCCAAGCTCTATCGAGGCAACCCTCTCAGCAAACTTGAGGGTGCTAATTGTCTCTCCTATAGAATTAACCTCGGGATTTATATGAACGAACATCAATGTCTTAGCATGCCCACCTACAAAGGACAATGAAATATGGTCAATACAATTGCAAAGCTTCAAAAGAAAATGTTCTTAATCCTACAAGAAATTCCCATTACCTAAAGAATCTTGTAATACTTGAGTAAGCTTGCTATTTCTGTAAGGAATATGTGTACTCTTTTGTGCAAGTGCAGAGATGACATCTCCGAGTGCAGAGAGTGATCTGTTTATATGTTGGGCTTCCTTCAGTCTTTCACCAACAGCCTCAGATTTGTCCACTCTCTCACTTCCAGCCAGATCCACTAAATGAAGGCAACCCTTCAGAATGGATCCAGAAAGTAACTCTTTTCCTCGGACATGAACTGTCAAAACGCTGCAAAGGCCAAGACAGCAGAGACTAATCAAGGATCACTGCACAGTTATAAACATTGAAAAAGGTAATATAATATTTCAAATACTGGGTTTACCTATGAGAGCGGCTACTACGCTCATTTAAAGCCGTAGCGCCCACAGCACGATTTTTTTGGCCTATTTTCATCAAATCAAGAACATCTTGAGTACATTTAACAGGAACCAAGCATGCGTCGGGCACATTGAGGCCATTCAATTGAGAATTGTTCCGTATATCTAACGTGAAGGTAGTCAAGGTGCAAAAGTAACAGATAATAGATTATTACTGGGGCTTTCAAATTGCCAAACAATAGATGATATCACTGATTCCTTACAGCTGAGAAAGCCCAGGTTGGACCGACTACAAGATGCATACACATACTTATCAAGTTAATTACAGAAGTAAATTCTAAAAGGATATCTTCTATTTGATCCATCAATGACCAATAGATCTCTCACTTGTTCATTGTATATTTCAATCATCTGGACTCCGACTTCATATTCTATAAAGTCCACCCTTGCCTTTGAAATTTCAAACAAGTCACGCAAAGCTCGATAGTTTACACCCCATGTATCCTCCATATTCAAGTCAGGACCACTCTGTAAAAGTGAGACAGAAGAAAGAGACGATTGTAAGAAGTCATATACATAGTACACAGGGGCAATCACATCTTCTTTATCCAGGGTTACACAAAACTAGCCTATCGAGGCCTCGTTTGTCAACTATACATTTTAGCCAAAAAACCAAAAAGTCACTATAAGTTGTCACATCACTCTCTACTTTTCTGCATATTTTTTTGTAAAAAGCCAAAAAGTTACTAAAATAGCATATTCCCAAATGAGGCTTGCAAAATGGTACATTTCAAAATACAGTATGCTAAACGAATAGAGTAGTACTAAATGGATTTGGACCAAACCAAACAGAATGAGTAGGATATGCAATAGAAATATCAAATGAAACAATGGTATAGGAGACTCAATGCTACTAATCAATTACAATTGCAATGGGTTTGGTGTTACCATTGTGTATGTCTTCCCTGAACCAGTCTGACCATATGCAAAAATGCAAACATTATAACCATCTAGAACAGATCTGACCAGTGGCTGAGTGTCTGCATATATTTGCTCTGCACAAAAAATATATATACACACATATATATATATATTAATAAAATAAAGACATCATCATGATGAAATCTTATGAGTATAGTCTATAAACATGCATCTATAGCAAGTTTTGAAGGCAAGTCAGCATGATTATAGGTAAGAACTGATTTTAGAAAGAGAAACATACGTTGGGTCACATTTGTTGCAAACACTTTATTGAAAGCGAACACCCTTCTTGCATCTTTACCCTGCTTATAAGGATTGGCAATCATAATATTTCCATTTTCTCCAATATAATCCACCGTAGACTGCCCATCAGATTGTCCGGGTAGGAAGGGCCTAACTCTACAGTAAACCCTAATTGTTCCTGTCAGACAGCAAAAACCACTGAATAAGCTCACGTTACATAAACTTGACAAAACATAAAGTAAAAAATTCAAGGTAAAACCTTTTAGGTCTTGGACTAGATTGTAAAGTTGGCGGTTTTCCTCCAAAACTTTGTGATAGGAAGAAGAGGCCACTTCAAGTCCCTTAATATGATGCACTAATGAAACAAAGAGTGTGGTTAGTTTACATAAAAGGTTTAAACCTGAAGCCTTAAATAAATACTAAACAATACTTCAGACTCTGGCTGTGTCAATGAGGAAAAAGCCTTTAGGTTCTCACCAAGCCTTCTATGTTCTTCCTCCCACCCTGCTTGAACCTGCTTGACTTCTAGTTTTGTCTCTTGAAACCTTGACTTTAGCTCCTGAAAACATCCAATACAAAGGAAATCCAAACAATACAATTAGATGTAAGAAAGATGAATTTAATGTTATGAAAACCAGGAAAGGTGGCCATTCTGAAATTTTTTTAATCATTCATGTACAACATATTTAGAAGTGTAAAAATGCCCACACCACTCCTCCATTCTTTTCTCTTTTCTTTTTCATCTCTATATTGCAAACCTAATATGTTCTTTTTCCATCTCTATATTACCCATTTTTCCAGAATAAGAATTGTAACTACTTCAAGTCTCTAACCAAAAAGCAAATCAAAGGACGGGCTGCAAATAAAACATCTCATTTCACAGCGCATGAAGAAAAGGGAGTATCGACTTCAGTATTTGACAATAATACCTCAAGCTGTTTCTGTTGAAGATCAAGTAGTTCCAAATCACCAGCAGAATGACTTATATTACGCCAGATGACTTCACGTTTCCCACCACAGATGCAGTATTTGGACATATCACTTGATGCCAAACTAGTTTTTTGATCAAGATATCTTGAAATGGCTTCTAGGAATTCAGTTTTTGATAGAGGAACCCCATTGCCTATCAATAATTTCTTTAGAAGAAGTCCAAGCTGTAGAAGGTAGTAAAGAAAATTACATCACTTCAATGTGGTGGTGAAATTGATTGTTACTTTTAACTTGTACAAAATCAATACCATCGAAGTACTTATACAGATAATTCAAGAACAACAACTATATCAACATTAACAGTCGTTATTGACCTGAATGCCCTCAGAAACAAGCTGTGCAGAGAAATCCTTAACCGCCTTTCTGAGTACAGTATCAATGACCTACAATTTTTCACCGCTGAATGATATTAGATTCCACACATATTTATTTCTAGGAAAAAGTTCTCATTATCATCCTATGGGCATCTAGATTGCAAGAGAGTACATGGCTTGTAATAACACAAAATACAAAAGCACTATAATTGTTAAGTCATGTATTGAGTATAAACAATTATTTACATTTTTAAAAAATTCATAGATCATCCTACCAGTTTCGTATGCGTTGACAATTGATTCACATCAATCAACTTAGGCATTATCTTGACCAATTAACAGAACAAACCTATATATGTTGGGCATGTGTAGAGATGGTCATTAATATATTGATTTTCAACTTCTTGTGCCATCAACATGTCAGGTACCCCATGTCAGTTCAAACAATAACACCCTTGTATGATCCTAACAAAATAGAGTTTCACAGTTTGCAACAATGCTAAAATTCACTCTATGCTTGCCTTATGCATGTAACTAATTATAGTACACAAACGGAACGGATCTTACCTACCATTGCATTCAAAGGCAAATCTTCAATTCCATTCCTTTCTGAGAGATAAGCCTGTAGCAGTCCAAGCCCAAAACCATCAAAAAGGAAGGTTAGTGCATTAGCAGCTTTGGATTCTTCAACTGAGACCACACTGGAAAGATGGAGAAAATCCAATAGCTGTTCATATTGTGATGATTCAGATTCATCCAAAGACTCATCAGTACTTTCACTGCCAACTAATGAAGATGGCGACCCCTTTGGAAGTGATGTGATCCTCACGGTTCCACCATACCTCCAAACCCCAATTCCACCTGCCTGTTTCCACTCGTAGTAACCTTTCAAACAAAGAATGCAGTCTACAACTTTACTTGATGAGCCTCCCTGAAAATCCAAGTTTGCCAAATTCAAGAAATGACATTGTAATAGGATAAATAGAACTACCATGTGTCGAAACAAGTTTGCAAGAATTATTGGAAATCAATTGAGGTGCAAAAAAGATGTATTTCGGAATATAGTAGATAAAAGTTTGCCAATTTCAAGAAATGACATTGTAATAGGATAAATAGAACTACCATGTGTCAAAAACAAGTTTGCAAGAATTATTGGAAATCAATTGAGGGAAAAAAAGATGTACTTAAGAATATAGTAGGTCCTCGAATAACTAGAAACTTTTTTGTGTAAACAGATAAAAGGTAGGTCCTTCAATAACCACAGTAGGCTAGTTTTTGAGGTGTAATTGCCATGGTGTGGATTAAGGGGCTGTTAATTGTTTGCTAGTATTAGGGGTCCATCTGGATGAGTGAAATGAAAATGAGAGGATTTGAGGTTAAATATCGTGAAATTGTAAGAAGGTTAACTATTGGATGCAAATAAGTAGTACCAAAGTGAGGATTGAATAGAGATAGGGGACAAACGCTCAGTTTGTTTTAGTGGAAAATGTTTTAGAGAAAATATTTGTGTAAAATTTTTTTCCAGCTTTCAAAAGTGAAAAAATGTTGCCCGCCCAAATAAGCTTGTTCTCAATTGACCACAAAAAAGATTTTCCATTGTACCGAGTGCTAGAAAAACGTTTTCACTGACACAAATGGAGCATTATTAGGGAAGATTCATCTTGTTAAAATCTTTGTACAAGTAGAATCATTCATATAAAAATTTCAAGTAATTATGGTCAGAGTGTAATTTCAAACCCATCAATCTAAAGCTCTCAAATTCAATCTTGAAATCTATATCTAAAATACTACTTTAAACTAAGGCAATGCAATTCATTTCAAATCCATAAACCCAAATGCAATGCAATGCAACCCATAATTGTCTTCATTCCAATATATTAATTGAAGTTCAAATGACGATAAATTAAAATACCTTTTCTAAGTCAGAGGCTTCAAAAGTCAAGAGCTTCATATTGCCAACGGCGACGAGGAAATTCCTCATGTTCTCAAAATACTGAATTGCAGACTGGGCTGCACCCTCCGTCGCCTGAACATCAATGATTGGAATTTCCACCACCTAGTTTCCCACATCATCATTAAACAATCAAAAAATAAAAAGAAAATAAAAGAAAAGAAAGTGAAAGAAAGTGAGTGAGGATAGTGGGTACCTTGTGGACAGCACCAGGATTGACTTTGTTGAGGACATTGCAGAGAATGAGGCCATTGCGGAGAGCAAGACAGAAGTGTTCTTCGGAGGGTTCTATTGGAAGTACCTCCGAAGCTCCTTGGTCCATCTGTCTTAGCCATTCCGTTGCTTGGTACCTCCTCGAAGCTGAAACCCAACAACACAACACACTGATCTCAGGACGAGTTTGTAATCACTTGAACAAGGCTTAGAACTTTGACTCCGAATTTTGAAGTCCCATTTGTTCACCAGGCTGAAATTCTACTGAAAATTCTACTAAATAATTATATCAAATAGCTTATATAAGTGTGACACTCATGTGATCTCAACAAATTTTATCAAATAATTTATGGTGTGATCTCAAAAAGCTTTATCAAATAGTTTTTATGAGCGTAGAATTCTCATGACTCTTATGTACGATATTTATATGAGTATAGAATTCTCATATGATTCTTATCTACGATATTTGATAATTTTTTTAAAATATAACATTTTTATTTATTCACCCACATTTTAAAAATGTGTAACGGAACAGCTATTCTTCCTTTGATTTCAAATAATAATATTGATAATTTTGGGCGAAATCAAGGTAATAATAAGACTAATTTAACTCTATTATTTTGAACCAATGAGACATCATATAATGTTACAATTTTTGTATATCAGCAATAATCACCTATATTTGTATTTTGTATTGGTTTAATCAGAAAAATTTTACATCTTATGCACCATGTTATTATTCAAAACTTTTAAAGAGGACTACTAGTAGCACTCACTTTTCTCTTTTAGATCCCTCATTTCTAAGTAATTTTATTTCCACACACTATTTACACTTTGTAAATATTTTTTTCAATACACACACTTAATGAATTTGTTTATCTTTTGTTTTATTCGTTCCACGCACAAAATGTTCCAAATATGCCCATAACATACAATGTGTACAAAAATTTCAACATATTATATACACACACCACATAAACACATACACTCCCACCACACCCCTAAGCCTAAGCCAAAACCTAAATTGTGCCCTACACATGATATTTTTTCAGCACACTCCAACAATTTTTCGACTGTATGCAAAAAAAATATTTTTTTTTGGGTATTATTTTACTATTATTCTTCAAAAATAATACTCTGTTTAGTTTTAAGTTTTTAAAATATTTTTGTTAATTTTAAAATCCTATTATTATTATTATTATTATTGTTTAGTAAACTTTTTACATATTTAATCAACATTTTATTTTTTAGAATCACTTAATTTAGATACATTTAAAAATTAAATTATTTTCCGAAAATCTTTAAGAAAATAATAAATACAAAAAAAAATATGTACTAAATGTTTATATTTTTGTATGTTTTTTAAGTGTATCTAAATTAAGTGAATCCAAAAAACATAATTAGAATGTTAAAAATGTTCACTAAAACAAAAGAATACAGATTGAAATTTTCAAAAATTATTTTTCAAAACTCAAAACCAAACTGAGTGTAAGTTATTGTTATACTATTTTCATTATTCGTTTCATATTGACGGACAACGAGATGGAAATAATTTAGTACTGGTTGTGCAAATACATTAAACAAATTCGACAATCAACAACTGAATCACATTTTTATTTAGGCCAAGTTTGGGTAGTTTAAAAAAAGCTAAAAAGTCAAAAAATTACTCAAAAAGTTAAAAAGTCATTACTATTCACCAAAAGTCAACAATTACGGCTGCACAATTCCCAATTTTAATTTTCCCCTACAAACTAATTTTTACAATTTTTTATTACACATTTTTCCATAAAAAGTCAAAAAATTAACCCAAACATTCATATTTTCAACCTCAACTTTTTAGTCTAAAAAGACAAAAAGTACACTTATTTAGTCTTCCCAAACTTGGCCTTACTCACCTACATTTTAAAAATGTGTAACGGAACAACTATTCTTCATTTGATTTCAAATAATAATATTGATAATTTTGGGCGAAATCAAGGTAATAATAAGACTAATTTAACTCTATTATTTTGAACCAATGAGACATCATATAATGTTACAATTTTTGTATATCAGCAATAATCACCTATATTTGTATTTTGTATTGGTTTAATCAGAAAAATTTTACATCTTATGCACCATGTTATTATTCAAAACTTTTAAAGAGGACTACTAGTAGCACTCACTTTTCTCTTTTAGATCCCTCATTTCTAAGTAATTTTATTTCCACACACTATTTACACTTTGTAAATATTTTTTTCAATACACACACTTAATGAATTTGTTTATCTTTTGTTTTACTCGTTCCACGTACAAAATGTTCCAAATATGCCCATAACATACAATGTGTACAAAAATTTCAACACATTATGTACACACACCACATAAACACATAAACTCCTACCACACCCCTAAGCCTAAGTCAAAACCTAAATTGTGCCCTACACATGATATTTTTTCAGCACACTCCAACAATTTTTCGACTGTATGCAAAAAAAAATATTTTTTTTGGGGTATTATTTTACTATTATTCTTCAAAAACTAATACTCTGTTTAGTTTTAAGTTTTTAAAAATATTTTTGTTAATTTTAAAATCCTATTATTATTATTATTATTATTGTTTAGTAAACTTTTTACATATTTAATCAACATTTTATTTTTTAGAATCACTTAATTTAGATACATTTAAAAATTAAATTATTTTCCGAAAATCTTTAAGAAAATAATAAATACAAAAAAAAATATGTACTAAATGTTTATATTTTTGTATGTTTTTTAAGTGTATCTAAATTAAGTGAATCCAAAAAACATAATTAGAATGTTAAAAATGTTCACTAAAACAAAAGAATACAGATTGAAATTTTCAAAAATTATTTTTCAAAACTCAAAACCAAACTGAGTGTAAGTTATTGTTATACTATTTTCATTATTCGTTTCATATTGACGGACAACGAGATGGAAATAATTTAGTACTGGTTGTGCAAATACATTAAACAAATTCGACAATCAACAACTGAATCAAACAATAGTTTTTGATTCTGTACTTCCGAACAAAATATAAATTTTCGACATATAACTATTTTTTAAGTTGGTTTTTGAAAATATGAAATGTTTTCAAAAGTTAATTTTTGTATAGCTGCAACATTTTCAGAATTGATTTTTAGAATGATAATTGCGACAATAAATAAATAAATAAAATACTTCCCAACCAAAAAACTCACCCATTTGTTGCCCAATTTTTTTATTAACAATCAATTTTTTTCCCCTACATCGAAGCATTCATTGTTTTGTAAATCCCTCATCATACAAATCAATAATAACGGTGGGGTGCAATGGAACAATATTATAAGTAATGGATAAGGAGTGAAAATTTGAGCGATATTGGTCAAATCTATGAGAAACAATGAAGGAATAATAAAGTGAACAATGATCAATGGAGGGAGTGAGAAAGAAACAAAAAATTAAAGAGTAAATTTGATGTATGTATTTTTTGAAAAGAAAATGTGTACTGAGAATTTCTGTATAAAAGATGTGTACTAAGAAAATTTAGTTTTAAGAATTGATATGTGTGTTGATATTCATATTGATCATTTTGTTTAGTGGTAAAATTATAAAAAAAATTAATTCATTAAGTGTGTGCGCAGAGAGTAAATGATATATGGAAATAAAATTAACCCTCATTTCTTTTATTTTTTTTAATTCTAATTTTGTCCAAACATCAAGTTCCTTTTTTACCCTCTCACTCACTCAGATCTCTCTATCTTTCTCCCCCGCCGATCCCAAACCCCCTCTCACTCAAATCTCTGCCTCCCTAAGCATTACTTATCACCGTCACCCTCCTCTGCCAATCTCCTCACCTCTGCTGCTGCTGCTTTTTCATCGCGACGCAGCTTCACGAAGACGATTTGTCGACGGTGTTAGATTTCGACGACGAGAAGACACCATCGCCGTCATCTCTTTTGGAGATCATCATCATCATCGTTGAGGTTTTGCCATTGCTGAGAAATCCCCCACCATTGCGTCATCGCGTCGATCACCTCATATCTGAGATCATCCAGATCTACTTCGCAAATCGATGAATCTGCATCTGCTACCATCATCACCAGATTAGACCTCCACACACGATTTTGCCAACTTAGAGTGAAACCCTAAACGACCATTGACGTATCAAACTCTAATCCTAACCTTAACCCTAATTTTCCAAACCATACCCCACAAATTTTCGAGTTCAAACCATTAGATGCCACAATGACGAAGCAAAATTGAACGAAGAATTGAAGCGTACAAGTAAAATTAAGGATCGCGAAGTCGAAGATAACTATAGAGGATTAGCTCAGAGAGAGAAAGGGAGAGAATGAGGGGAATTTTGGACACAACTGCGAAGGGGAGGAAAAAGAAGTGGAGGGGAGAGAGAGAAGGGACTGCTGACGGTATGGTACGTTACAGAGGAAAAGTTAGGGTTCAAAAGATGAGGGTGTTCAAAGAAGTGAAGCGGTCCAAAGAAATTAGATAAGTGCTAATAGTAGTTTCTATTTAAATTTAGTCGATACTATCATTTCTTCACTGTCACCTTTGTCCTTCTTTACCTTTTTTGGTCTATGCCATTACTATTGCGTTTAGTGCAAATAAATTTTTTCATTTTTTGTTAAATTATTCATAAAATTCACAATAATAACCCCCAAAGTAAATGGTATTAAAAATAAATACAAATTCTTAAAAAATTTAAAATTTAGAAAGAGATTTGAAAAAGTAAATAATAAAAAAAAAGAGAAGATTTAACTTATATTTCACTTATATTTTCTTTTCTTTCTTTTTTTTTCCATAATTTTTTTTTAAATTAAGAATCAAAGCACAATCTAAATCAGTTCTCCTATAGAACAAAAATGTTAGAGAATGCTTATGTCAAGTTACTTAGGCCCTATTTAGTAAGTGGCTATTTTAATTAAAAATCAAAAAGTTTTCAACTAGTATAAAAAAATTAAAATTCATTCACATTCACTCTACAAAATCAAAAAATCTTCATCATTCACTCTACTTTTTTTTTTTCACCACATATTTTAGTTTAAAAAATAAAATATAAAAATAAAATCCACTTCCCAAGCTCTCCGATTTTGGTTCAGATTTCCAGCTAAATTCTAACCATCCATCCAACCATTTTATTTTTGTTTTTAACGAAAGTTTGATACATAACTTTAATATTGCTTTAGATAACTTTACCATTGCTTTAGATTATAGTCTTCATGATCAAAATGGTCCTGTTTTTGAGAGCTAATCAAGATGTTCTTTGGGCATGAAGAATAATATGGGCCAAACTGGACCCACCACTATCAAGGTTGGCCCATAACAACATTAATAACCAGGGAGGACTTACCCACCACCACCACTTCGATTCAAGAACAATGCGCAAGCGCAACATCATCATGATTTGCCACACAATCTTTCATTTAATTTTTTCCCCTCTTTTTTGAACTTAATTCCCGGATCGATACAACCACACCAACCACACCCGTCTAATTTTTTTAGACTTTAGAGAGATGAAAGCACACCAACTCATTTCTTTTAAGACACCACTTCACTCTTTTTCAGGGAGAGGATTGCCCCCATTTCCAGTTAATTAACTCTAATTAATCTCATGCTTTTACAATTAATTTTGTTGCATGATTTTTATATGAAAAAGTCTTTTCTCAAGCAATTTTATTATCAAATTTACGACTAAAATAATATAATAACGGTTTAAAAAAAAGAAGATATTGTCAATGATCCCTCATTTGTTTATGATCAGATAACCCAAAAAAAAAAAAATCAATAAACATTACATATATATATTTTTTATATTTCAATAGACACATTAGACACATCGATTGATGTTATTGACAGTAGCCTATTGAGCTGTCATTAAAATTTGTCTTTAAAAAATTTAAGCATTTTTTTGGCGGACATTTGCTTTAAAGTGATAAAAAGCTAAACTTACCACATGATTATGTTTTTTAAATTCGTTTTTACTATTTTCAAACGAAATAATATGGCATCACATGGTTTTTTTTATTTTAAACTAAAACATTTATAAATTTTAAGTAACTCTTAATTTCAAAAATACTAGTACTATCATATCACATTATTTTGTAGACCTTGTTTGTATAGAAAAATCTATTTTTATATCAATTTTTTTATTTTTATAAAAGAAGCTTCAGCAATTAGTTTAGGTACTTCAAATCAGTCTTCCATATATGTTTCCTTTTAAATCTTTTTTAATTTATTAATTTATTATAGGTGTCAGCCAACATTGACAACTTCAAGATCAATGAAAAAAAAAACCCAAAACAGCATTTTCCACGGTCCAATGCTCTGCACTTGCTGTTGAAGCAGCCGTTGCAACTTGCAACCCTTTCAAATTTTGACTACCAAGGTTAAGTCTAATAATTCTACATCTACTAACATATATTTTTGCTAAAAACATAAAAATTAAATATGGAATATATATAAATGCACAAAATTTCTTAAAATTTAATTATTTTAAAATTTATCCATATAATATCTATTTAATTCTGCAACTGATTTATGTATTACAATATAACAAGTGTTTACCTGCTTCTCCGGCTTTCCTCTGGGCCAGTTCATGGTCGTTGATGATCTCTTCAGCATACGAACAGTCAGTGCCATTACTATTACTATTGTTATTATTATTGTTATTATTAATAATGGAATTCAAACCCTTCAATCCTCTCAAGTTCTTGCAAGGAGAGTTGAATATTGAATTGTAGTTGCTTTCTTGCGGCATTGTCTCCCTCTCCCTCTCTCTTCAACTCGATCAATTCCTCTGTTCCAGAAAAAACGTAAATGTCACAGTTAAATTTTTTTCCAAATATGTTTTCACAATCAATTTTTTGAAAATTGCTAGATACTAATTTGACAAATCAAAATTTTACTTTTGAATTTTAAAAAATGATGAGTTTTTTGAATTCTTTCATCAATTTTTAGTGTTTTTCAAAAACAAACGCAAATCTGAAAGCGAAACTAAACAGAAAAACAGAACTCGAGACGGTTAATATCTCAATGATTTCACATGAAGTTCAGAAAGTATAGCATTCAAACTAAAATCATGGAACAGTAATATACATCGATCATAATCCAAGAAAAAAAAAAGGAGAGATAGAGAGATGTCTGTTTCTGTCTTCCACTCTGTGTTTGATTGCAAAGTGATGAAAATTCATGGTTGTTCAATCAATATTTACGAACTATACTTCAAAATTGTAATCAAGAACAGAAAAACCGGAGAGAATTTAATGAGGATATGTTTCAATGATTATGAAAAACAGAGTGTATCACTTACCTATACGCAGACAACAGAAAAAAGATTCAGCCGCCGAGAAAATTTTCTTGAATTTTCCGGCGATGGAAAACAAAGGAAAATGAGTATCAACAGCGGTGAAGATTAAAGTTGGATCGGATCTGAACTGGAAATCGGAAGGTGAAACAAGCTTCTCGTGTGTTGTAAATGAGCATTCAAAAATACCAAGACTCTCTCATTAAATGCAAGAGAGAGATACAGAGAAATATAAAGAAAAATGCTTGGACCTTTAATTAGAGGTAGCATTAGTGATGTGGCAGTGGGTTCCACCCACTGTCATTCACTGTCACATCAGTGCTGTGTCTTGGTTTTTTTTTTTTTTTTTTTTTTTCCTTTTTTTTTTTTTTTTTACCTTTTCCACCTCATTAGAGGTGTGTTTAGAGTTTCTAAATTAGAGGTCTCTAGCATTGCCCAAATATAAATATAGAGATATAGATATAGAGATATACATATAGAGAGAGAGAGGAGGAGTGTAATGGAGTTTCAACCTATCTTGCTTGTTTGGAATAAACGTCTTGTTGTCTTGCTTTGCTGAATGATTTCACGGAGGGTTAACGGAGTTTCAACTTGTTGGATCAAATGAAAAAGGATTTTATTCTTTCAAGGGTAAATTATTCTTTTCAACAAATGGGTCTCCCACCTTTGATTCTTCACTTATTTTGTAGTTTTTCGCTTTGGATCAATTATCAATTCATGCCATGATTAAAGGGGTGATTTAAGAATTTCAAAAATTAAAATTTTCAGTTTGATTTTCTTTCATTTCGATTTAAAAATCGAAACCCAAACTTTTTTTTGTTTTTTTTTTTGGTTTTATGCAGGGTATCCTAAGTTAACTTACACATACTAGACTAAGGCCCGAACAAGTCCTTTCGAAACAAGGCTTACGCCCTGCTGTCTATGATCCCAAGGTATACAGTTATTGGTTAGGGAATTCAAATCTAAGACCTGGAAGAAAACAAACCTCTAGGTCTCAGTCGTCACTTATGTACGGGGAAGAAATAATTCTCCTCGTATAATTCTGTTGACTAAATCCACGCTTCTCCGTACGACGTCGCTTTGTCACCTGAAAACACAAACGTGAGCTAGCCGGCGGGTGTGTGCCGGAAACCTCTCCGATGCCTAAGTCAGAAAACTTGACAAATAGACAAAGCTCAATGTATTCATTCGATCGGATCTGAACTGGAAATCGGAAGGTGAAACAAGCTTCTCGTGTGTTGTAAATGAGCATTCAAAAATACCAAGACTCTCTCATTAAATGCAAGAGAGAGATACAGAGAAATATAAATATAGAGATATAGATATAGAGATATACATATAGAGAGAGAGGAGGAGTGTAACGGAGTTTCAACTTATCTTGCTTGTTTGGAATAAACGTCTTGTTCACACTGTTTGGTAGAACTGTGGGAAAGTGTTTATAGCTTATGCCTCAACAGCTTATAGCTTATAATTTTCAGCTTAAGCTGATTTTCAGGTTATTCTTAAAGCAACTCCTGCCCCACTCAAAGAATAAGTTGATTTCTGACTTCCAAAAAGCTATAAGCTATAAGGTATAAGCTAAACTAAATACATCAAAATAGCTTAAATTAAGCTAAAAGTTAAAATAAACTGTAATTAAGCTCTGCCAAACAGACACGTTGTCTTGCTTTGCTGAATGATTTCACGGAGGGTTAACGGAGTTTCTACTTGTTGGATCAAATGAAAAAGGATTTTATTCTTTCAAGGGTAAATTATTCTTTTCAACAAATGGGTCTCCCACCTTTGATTCTTCACTTATTTTGTAGTTTTTCGCTTTGGATCAATTATCAATTCATGCCATGATTAAAGGGGTGATTTAAGAATTTCAAAAATTTAAATTTTCAGTTTGATTTTCTTTCATTTCGATTTAAAAATCGAAACCCAATTTTTTTTTTATTTTTTTTATTTTTTATATGCAGGGTATCTTAAGTTAACTTACACATACTAGACTAAGGCCTGAACAAGTCATTTCGAAACAAGGCTTACGCCCTGCTGTCTATGATCCCAAGGTATACAGTTGTTGGTTAGGAAATTCAAATCTAAGACTTGAAAGAGAACAAATCTCTAGGTCTCAGTCGTTACCTACTAGACCAACTTCTACACCCTATATCAGATGGATCAAATGAAAATTTACAATAAATATGAGTCATTCGAAAGTAAAGTGGGCACAAATCAAAATTTAGAATTTAATGGAAGATCAAATGATGAGTAG